CAAAGCACTCGTACTCGAAATGACGGTACTCGTACTTGGGCAGCAAAGAACTCGTACTCGACATGTCGAGATTGTACTCGATCATTAAAGTACTCGTACTTAAATAGCAGTACTCGGGGAAAAATGGTATACAGCTTTACTTACCATGGCCTTATTTTATCGATACTTTTAGTTTGAAATGGTTGATTGGTTTGTGGAGAAGTTGAAAATTCCTGATTTTCCTCTGTGCACGTCTGGCAAACATATTCAACAGCTAGCCGTGAGTGGGTCTGTATATAATGTCTGACTAGGCCTTGGCCAATTACGCACAATGAACCATTTGCCGTATGGCTGTATTCGGAAGTACAAGTACTCGTACTCGTACTCGTACTCGGAAGTACAAGTACTCGTACTCGGAGACCCGTTCTTGTAATCGGAGGTACAACTACTCATACTCGTACTCGTACTCGGCAACCGAAGTGCTCGGCAGTACTCGGTACTCGGAAAAAAGTACTCGACTACAACACTGCTGAAAAAATCACAAATGTAAGGGAATAGCCTTGCATTTTATCAAAATTGGGCAAAATTTGACTTTTTCTATAAATTTCAAAATTTCATAATGACTGAATACAACGCGTGCGTTGAAAAGCAAAAGACAAAAGGCAAAATTCGATACCGGGCTCCGCGATTCGTGGACGACGGATCTAACCACTCGGCTACCAGGCTTCCTTAGAATTCCCCTCAAAAACATTTTGTCTTAATAAGGCCAAAAAAAAAATAGGTCGGTCTCTGGTCAGCGCGCGCGTCGATTTTAATCATGCGCGTCAATCTTTTTTTTCCCCAAAATGTTCCGCGGTAGCTCCAACAGCGCCCTCTATTGCCGCACCTCCTCAATTTTTTTTACCAAAGAGCACCAAGGAATGGGAAATTGCACCAAGGCAAATAATCGAGAGCACCAAGGCAAATTATGGAGGACACCAATGTACATGAGGACACAAAAAAAGCAAAATAGTACCCCACCTTGTCTGTACAATCCAAGCTTGAAGAAAAAAAAAAAAAAGCAAAAAAAAAAAAAAAAGCCGCGTCCCCGCGTCAATTCCGGAACTTTGGTCTGACCAGAGACCGAATATTTTTTTTTTTGGCCTAATAGGCGGAGAAACCTGGAACATTGTTGTGTGCATCTGTTTTGGCTCCATGGACGAACAGAATTGAAGTCGATGTTTCGGGCAGTAATGAGTCAACTGTTTTCGTTTGTTTGGAAAATTGTAAACGGCAGCCTCGTTAGTCGTAGGCCTATACGTGTGCTAAACATGCTTATCGTTACGCAACAATGAACACTATTTTATGTAGGCTATTTTGAATTTTGACGGGGTGGGGGGGGGGGGGGTTCAGGCCCGTTAGATTTCTATATCCAATCTTAGCCTTTTTTTAAATAATTTTAGTCTATTTTGTGTGTGTCAGAGCGCAGGGGGGGGGGGGGGGGGGGCGGGGGAGACCGAACCCCCTGTGGATCCACGCCTGACTTCACTTTTTCTATTTGGACAGAAAACAGATTCCCAACTCCATCACTACTATTTCAACTTAATACGGCCTTAAAAAAAACAACCAAAAAACAAAACAAAACGTGTTATTACGGATTTGTTTGGTAACACTGTAAATCAGGCCTATGTCCCAACAGTCATTCATCAGCCAGTAATCTAACATTATTTTCCTGAAAAATAAAGATTAAAGTAAACAGTACGTTCTCATCCTTAATTCCAAAGACAACCAAAAAACTGAAATGTACATGAAAAGAAGATCATACCAGGACACCACATTACACTAGGGGAGCTGTTCACGATACCGATGTGCCTCCTTTATGATAGCGCTTCGCACGTACCCCCGCCCTGCAAACAGGGCCTAGGTCGCTGGGCCGGGAAGGGCTGATGAGCTTCACAGAATCTTGTGAAGGAAGTAGGGATGGCATCCCGGGTAAGTTATGTATAAAGACAAAATTAAAGCTGCTGTAGCTGTTTAAAGGGTGTAAGCTAGTCTGGTTCCCTGACCCCATCGTCCTTTGGACTTGAACAATAATCTAGGTGCAGGCAAGGAAATAGGTCCGAAATTGCCTACGCCGGACAAATCACGATTTGCATGCCCTCAAATTCTTCAGTATTTGAGCATATTGTGGGCCATGAACTTGAGGGTTCGTACAAAACAAGGATAGGAGCCGTGCACTGGAACGAGAGCTTGTATTTCTGTACAATTTGGATGAAATTGGGGCCTATAAGTGCTCTCTTTTGCAATGGAGTGTAGGCACCGTTTTTCAAAATGGCGATGGGCTTCAGGACTATTTTAAGGGGTGATTATATTCGGGTGGAAAGTTTCTCCCAGAATTCATCAAATTAAAAAAAAACCCGATGAAATAATCTTTAAATTGGATGTGTTTCGAACACCTTGGAGAGTAAATTGCGAGTATATTTTCCTGACTTTCTGGACACTCTCGGACAGTAGGTGGCGCTCTTCATAGCTGCCGACTGATGTGATTCGCTTTTTCAGATGATGTCGCCGGCCCCTTCGCGCTCGCCCCCCCCCCCCCCCCAGCTCGCTCTTAAAATCTGTAGCCGGTTGCAATTTGCCACAATTTACTATATTTTTAAGGAATGTTCGCAATTATAGAAACAATATCATTTTGAAACATGTTATAAACATTTTACAATGTACATTTTAAATTTTTGCCCGGTGCAATATTGCATACTGCGTTTCTTACCTCAATTGGAAATTGCGACATTAATAATGGTACAGTCATATTGATCGAACGGAACATCGTTTTGATTATAGTCAATTATTAAAAATTCATTGATTTATTACATAGACTTTTGTTTTGTTTTTAATACTTCCGTAGGCCAACCGAGTAGATGTAAACATCAAACTAAACCAAAGTTTTTAAAAATATGGGATACAAAAAATCAAAAAGTTATGTGCTGGCCAAGCTTTCAGGGATTGGATGGGCCATAACGATGCCCCATCACAATCCCCTAGTTCTCTTCCGGGCTCTCGGGGGTCCCGACCAATACACACTTCCTTCCCTGTCCATCCATGTAACCCCGGAGGGCCAGTCACCATGTAAAAGCAAAGAGCTAAGGGAGGAACAGGGCGGCCCCTAAGCCCTGATCCTCCGAGTGGACCACATGCCCTGAACCTGTACGAAGGCGCCAACCTGGAACTCACGGACAGTACCAGCCGCAGTGCTTACCGATTAAGCTAAGGTACAGTTGGTGTTTTACGACGGGAAATTAAACATCTTATAATGATTGGATGAGCGCGACTAAAACCAAAAAGACACCGAGGGGATTCGAACCCGTGCCCCGCGATGTGTGGACGGCCTTTGTAACCACTAGGCCATTCGCCTTCCTTAGAGTTCTTCTCAAAAATAATTTGTCTTAATAGGAGGACAAACGTGGAACATTAGCGGGTCCATCCGTTTTGGCTCCATGGACGAAAAGAATTGAAGTCGATGTTTCGGTCAGTAATGAGTCAACTGTTTTGGTTTGCTTGGAAAATTGTATACGGCAGCCTCGTTAGTCGTAGGCCTATACGTGTGCTAAATATACTTATCGTTACGCAACAATGAACACTATTTTATGTAGGCTATTTTGAATTTTGACGGGGGGGGGGGGGGTTCAGGCCCGTTAGATTTCTATATCCAATCTGATCATGTTTGTAATTTTAGTTTATTTTGTGTGTGTCAGAGCGGGGCGTGTCTGGCGGGATGGGTTGGGGGGGGGGGGGGGTCCGAACCCCCTGTGGATCCGCGCCTGACTTCACTCTTTGTATTTGGACAGAATACAGATTCCCAACTCCATCACTTCTATTTCAAAATAATACGGACGTTAAAAAAAAAAAAAAAAACCTGTGTTTTTAAAGGGAATATACATCATTTGCTTTTGCTGTAATTTTCAGAAATGGATGGAATTTGGGGGTTGGAAATATATAGCAAATATAGTTACACTGACTTTTTTGAGGTTTTGGGTTCGAAAATGCTATAAAAACCAAGAAAAACAATCATTTTCCTGTAGTCTGGTTCCCTGACTCCATATAAGAAGAAACAGAGCAGTTTACATACATTGGGGAATTGTAAGGTCAGGGAACCAGTCTAGCTGGCTTGTACCCGTTCATAGGTGTGTAATCGATTGCAAACAAGTGCGATGGTCAATTGGGGCCAATATTTGAAAAAAAGCCAGTTTTTTCCAACGCTGGTCGGCCGACCAGCGTTGGAAATTGATACAAAACTACCACTTTTCTTGAAAATGACAGTATACCAGGTGCCATGATTTTACAGGATGCTCTACGCTGTCATTCATTAACAGTCCAGCAAGGTATTTCAAAATGATTTGGTAGTTTTATTTTTTGATGTTTGCAAATGTTGTATATTCCCTTTAACCCGGTCTAACAGAGGCAGCTTCGTCGTGGGGTACGCTTTTTGTAATAATATAGTGTTAATAATCGTCGGAATTGAACGGCACCCAAATTGAAAGTATGTTGCGAGCCCCCCCCCCTCCCGTCCAATTAATTTTTGGAGGCCAAAATGTCTGGAGAAAAAAACTTGTCTACACTGCAGATATATTTTGCTAATGAACCCCCCCCCCCCAAGGCAAGCTAGACCGTACAAGATATGCTATAGTATTTCCAGAAGATTGAAAACGTCTGTCAAAACCTTGAATTAGCATTTTTTTCTGTTTAAATTGATAACGGAGAAACTGAAATCATTGTTGAGCATTGAGCTACTAAGTTTAATTAATATACAAGTACGGATCGTATTTATGAACTGGCAAATGAGAATGATTCCCCGATTGTATGTTATTATCATTTTTAAAGTTTATAATTTGCTTATTTCTGGTAATGAAACGAAGGATTCCTCTAAAGCACCCAAATGCAGACCAATACACAGTATTGAGAGTCCCAAATTTTCGGACTAATCAAGCCTGAGAAACCTGTAGGAGAGAAATGCATATAACGGCACGTAAACGGTAAACGAACTCTTGAGGGCGGCAAATAGGTTGGTCGATGGTGTGTATGGTCGAAACGTCGCAAGCTGAGTACGAGAGTACAGACCTCTGCTCCCCGCTCCACTCACAAAAATATCGCTCTCCGGAACGGTGGATTTGTGCTCCTCTTGTAATGTACTAATTAGAAGTAATTTGGAGCTCCTGATCATGAGTAATGTGAGATCATCATTCAGGTTCGAATGTTATGCTGTTTTTTTTTTTACGTTGTCGTAGCCTACACTACACACCATTGTACATGTATATTCCTTGTATCGGGTCGCACTAAACAGCGTCAACACAGCGTCAACACAGCGTCAACACATGACAGAAGCGTCAACACACCGTCAACACATCCAAAACACATTCTGAATTGACAACAAGGCCATATAATTGTGAAACATACAATAAAAGAGAATTTCCATTGGATTGAGTTTCCATTTCGTTGTTAAAAATATCGTATTTTCACGCGAAAAAAATGACCTTAACTTGCACGGCCGTTGTCCGCCATCTTGACTTCGCACAAAGCTTGGACTACACCATTTCAAGTAGGGGTGTGTAGGTAATGACATTATCTTGTCATAAACAACAGAGGGCGCCTTGCTGCAGACTAGACAGAGGGATACCAGATCTGTGTGAGGACTAAGGATCGGAGGAGTGGTAGATCATTATTTTGTGAGTTGTGTTTATGTTTTGGTCTTTGCAGATATTTTTAACACTGGCGACCCCGGCCGCGTCCCTCTCTTTTGGTTTATTGTACAACGCTATCACCCTTTAGAATAATGGTATGGTCCGCGCTGCCACTGAGGCAACATGGCGGGTGTTCGGTAGCCGATTTCGGAGCGGCACGGAGAGCCAATTTTCTTGAACTAAAAATCGCGATTTTCAGACGTTTAACCTATTGATTTTAAGCACAAATCTTGTTTCTGTCCATACTGTATGGGTTACATACTGCTTTTGTCAATTTTAATGCATTTTGGATGTGTTGACGCTGTGTTGACGCTGTGTTGACGCTTTGGAGTGTGTTGACGCTGTGTTGACGCTGTTTAGTATGACCGCTTGTATCACCTAGACCCGTGAACGTGGACGTTGTATACAACGCCACGCTGTTGTGTATTTTTGAACCTAGCGAAATCGATCCGCCATACATAATTCCGTATGGATGTTGAGTACTCACCTAGAAATCTAAATTTGCCCCTCCGATTGTTCAGGCTGTGTAATTTCGACGAAATTTGCCATCAATAAAGACCCATACGAACGTGTAGAAATTATATTTTAACCCGACAAGTGACCCTGACAAATGACCCCGGACGAGTTGCTTGGACAGGTTGACGGCTGTTTCATGTCGCAACCCCCCCCCCAAAAAAAAAAACCCGCAGACGATTGGCTGCTCGGCTCATCTCGTGTACCAGACTGGGACCTTAAGTGCTCAAAACGATGCAAAAAAAGATCAGGCCAACTTTACTCACTCTTTAACCAGCAAATTCCTCCAAATCTGTTACTGGGTAAAATAATAGTTTCTCAGTATTTCACCAACCAAGTTTGAAAACTCAATTCCATTTTTAAAGGAGACTTTTCTTCAATATTTGGCAGTGGCTAGCACAAGAGAAGGAAGTCAAGTGATTTCAAAATGAGGCTAAAGACTGGACTTCTACATGTCCATCCATGGTCCAACTGTTTGACATGACTGGCTTCTTCATTCATTGTCATTAGTCTGGTGCCTGACTAAGGGGAAATGTGCAGAAATAGTGGTATGGTACCCGACATCCTATATATTTCTCTTGGCACAGTCAGCTGACAGTTGATTAATGCAGTACTGAAGAGTTGTTGGACTGGTTGTTTCATGTGCCAGTCTATTTTCTTGTATTGCATGTTTTCAGTACCTTAAGTTTTGGGACTCTCATACACAGTATTGAGAGTCCCAAATTTTCGGACTACTCGTGTACGTGTGCGCACACGCACGTGGGCGCACGTGCGCCTGCGTGCGGTGCGGTGAGAGAGGAAAGGACTTGAAACTTGTCTAAAACGATGTCTCTTTTAGCTGCGACAGTAAACAGCCGTCGAATCATACGAAACAGGATGGTACAATAAAATGCAATGCGCATGCGTCAGTTGGGAGAAAATGGCAGCTAGCAGGACTTCATGAACCGGCATGACCGGGGCCAGAATTTTCCTCAAATTTCGTCAAATGCAAGTTTTGACGTACAAACAGATTTCAAGACAGTTTCATATGTGAGTACTTATTACATTGGCAAAATAACGTCCAGTGTGTGTAATGGAGGGAGTCAGAGGGACAATTTTGCCAGGTTCAGAAATACACAACAGCGTGGCGTAGTTTACAACTTACAAGCCACGTTCACGGGTCTATGTATCACCTAAAACGACGAGGGTCTATTTTGACGCACTCTCATTCAATTTGCGTTGGACAACGCTCGCGCCTTGCAAGCGTTACCTGCGCCGATTATGGTGACTCGAGGATATTAAATGGGGGTCTACCAGTACCCGATGTTACCCAATAAGGCAATATAATATCTATGTTATTCTCTGGTTTAACTCACTGGTTTGACCATGTTGACTGGAATCCTGCTGCTGCACAAGTTAAACATGTTTTTAGATGGGGTTACGATCGAGTAAGCTTTATAATTATATGGCCTCTCTGGACTCCATATATTTAGCACTAAATTTAGTAGTACATGTATCTGATTACAGAATACAAACATTGATTATTTAGTTCAAGAGTTGGTGAAAGTAATTGGTCACTTTTTCAGATAAAATCACTTGTAATTTGACACCCGATGACGTAATCATGACGTCAGAGTAATATGCACCTTTTCGGATAAGGGTGGATATATATTGAAAGTTACAAGTTCATACCGTGTACCGTTTAGGAGAAAACCCGCGGAGAAGTATTGTCCGGAAAAAAAAGAGAAAGAACCAAACAAAGAAGATTTGTGAGAGCAATTCTAGACAGTGGTTGGGTTGTGCCCGACCACTCAATGAAGGATTCTGAACAACTAACCTGATGAAGTTTCAGCTCAGCTTAAGCTGTATATTCCGAGAAAACAGCGTTCTAGGATCTCAATTTCAAATCAAAAGTTGCTGAATCAGTTTTGATTTGTTTTGAATTGCAGCTATACGCGATGTCGCGCACTGATCCGACAAATTATAGCAACCGCGCGCGTGTGCATCATGCCAATGCTTGGGCGCACTTCGCCGAATAACAAAATGAACTACTGGTACTAATTTAAATTTCCTACAGTGCGTCTTAAGACGCACTGTTGGAAAGGCCTTCTTTCGTTGATTACTTCAAAATGACAGCTTGCGAGAAAGAATAATTTCACAGGGAGTTTAGTCCCCTTACTATCTTTCAACCAAGTATGTTTTTCAACAATAATTACGCCGGTTACTTTTCGGATGGCTGCAAATGATGGACTATAGCTTTAAGTTGCAGCAGTGGAGGTCTCTGTCAACAAGATGAATCTCATCCAGTCTTGGCAATATTTGTAGCGCTTCCCAGGAAATGTTGAGCATACCTCACGCGTGCTGTCTTCAAACTAATGCATGATATGCTCAAACTTTCTTGGGGAGCGCTGCCAGCATTGCTAAGACTGGATTGGATTCATCTTGTTGATGTAGCGACTTGCTTGCCACACAAACCGGCCGTAAAAGGGGAATAACATCCAAATCTCCTGTCTTTGTCCAAGAGAAGGCCCAAGGCTTGCCTTGTGTTGTAAACTGAACTTTAAACCCTGGTGCCGCACGTACATGTTTATGACATTGACTTTGCACTAGTGTATAATGTATGACAAGTTAATTGGTGTTCTTACCCGATAACAAGAGATAACTTTGTATGATCACGATATAGCTAACAAATAGATGAAAGATAAGGTCGCAAATACAGCAGCCTTTTCAAAGCAATTATCATTTGTTGTGACCTACCGGTAGTTCACCGTCTTTTTTATTGCTTGCTGGTCCCAGAGAGCCAGTGTATACATGTAGTCCTCTTTGTACTGTGACTTACTGACTACTACTGGTTGTTGACTGGCCAGTGAAGAGAGCTGGGCAGTGCTATTGTATAGGATAACCCTGTAACTCCAATGGATGGGCTAAATCCGGCCCATTGTGTACCCAGATGCATGGAACTTGTCGAGTGATTAGCCATTCTGATACAAGGAAATGGACCAGCTTTACTAGTCTTGTTTTCTCATGTTTATCAGGACATGTATACATGTGGTATTTTTTTTGCTGTTAAGTGTAAACATTTTGGCAATGGATTTGTACATGCTGCATGTATCGGTTTCTTGGTTTCTGAAAAGTGCACCGTTAACAGATTTAAGTGCGTAACTTAGAAGTCCATCACTTAATACATGTTGTACATTAAATTACATATTTGTAATTGTGTAGGACTACATGTGAAAAGCTTAGTTGGTAGACACAAGTTCATATTTTGTATGATATTCCATAATACGCAGGGTTGAGGAAAAGTTTCAGCATATTCAACAGAATGCTGTAAAACAAATTCCCCGTTTACATTTAACCAGTTCGCGCCGGAGGACGATACATGCAAAAGTAGTGCGATATTCGGAACGGATGACAGATAAACATGTAGGGAGTTTTGCAATATTCAGAACGGAAACATGTAGGGAGCGAGGCTGGAAATATCTGTCAGCGACCCGCTCGCAGTGAGTGAGGCCGGAAATATGAGTGTGCTGCCCGAGGATGATGGCTTCAACCCGAGGGTGATGGCTACAAGTTCAACCCGCATGGCTTGAGATCAAGTGAAAAATAATCCCGTGCCTCGTTCTGTTCTTGTCAAAATATTGCCGGCGTGAACTGGTTAAGTAAAACTGCTGTATTCTAAGGCCCCCCACCAATTCAAACTTTTCTTTGATACATTTAATACAAAAGTACATGTACTGTATATGAAATATGTATTTGGTGTTTTTTTTGTATTCCATAGTTGAAAGCTGTGGAGGGATCCTGATTGTACGGTAATGAATGAAGACGACAGTTGACCATGTACATGTCCAATACAAGCGTGTTACAGGTACGTAAGGAATCGCTCAAGCACCCAAAGTTGCTTAGCACAGAAGATATTTGCTTTAGCAAACACATTTAGTTACCAGCCAAGATATCATGCCATACATACACTGCAAAAAAAAGAAAGTCCACACTCATTGGAGGGGTCATAATTTTGAATCTGATCGTCTCATGATGACGTAATTTATAGACCTTTGGGGAATTTCTTTAGCTACATTTTGATACCCCGTTTGCAACCAAAGACTGTAAATTGTCCAAGATTGACAACGGTTTATGAAAAATGATCCAAAGTTATTGGGGGCGGAGATTAGTCTGGGAGACCATCGCAGGATGAATTTGAAAGGCATTCGCACTACAACGACGCCTGACGCTCGCGCGAAGACACATTGGCTAATAGCTTTGGCACATTCAGGAAGTCGTGTGTACATTCAGCGCGAACCGGTACACTACAGTACGCACGCACTGTGTGCCCCATCAATATGGCTTACAAAAGTGATAAAAAGCACCCTCTTCTGTCGGCGCGGAACCCATAGCGTCTTCGCGTGAGCATGAGGCAGTAATGCATTTGAATATCCCTCACAGTGGTTTCCAACTCTCCCTTTGTGCCCATTGAGGGGGTACTTGTGCACGGACTCCATACCCGAACCCCTGTAGATCATGTAGCTCATAGTCTTTGCCCCCCCCCCTCCTTATATCCCCCCAGGCATGCAATGCCCCGAGGTCGTCTGCTTCAATCAATCAACATCCTTTCTATCCTTGCCGTTGCTTGTTCTGCCGGCAAGCGCTGTACCACGTACTTGGCGTCCATGCAACAGTTTGTTTATGTAACGTCAATAATCCCCTTGTCTGGCCCAGGCAAGCTGCCCACTTTCCTGTTGTGGGGGGACGGGGCTGTGGGAAGGATGGAGGCTGTCAGTCTTCGTTGAAGTGACTAGGTAATGTGGAGTGCCACCTGGGGGTCACTGACCTCAAGAGACATGCATTCTTTACCCTTGGGCTTGATGTGAAACATTTATGTGAGATTAGGTCTTCCGAAAAAAAAAGGCTTGATGTACCCGGTTGGCTTGACGTACATGATGTACATGTGTAAATTGCACCTCGAGCACATGCAGTTGTGCATAAGTAAATGTACCGTTGCTCTCAGAAACATCGATATCAGAATTTTCAATAATCGATATATCGGAAATATATCCAATATTGAGAATGTTGATTTATCGACTATCCGATGTAAAAAGTTAAAGACCATAAGATGACACTTTGATTTAAAAACAATCCAAAGTCTCAATTTTCCACGGTTTTCTTTGGAGCATACCGGTATTGCTCAAACTTTTAAAAACAAATCTCAGTACTGACAGATTGCCCAGAATGGGCGGTTTCTTTTGTGGTTTTACATTGGGGAGACCGCGAATTCCAGCGACCGCAGAGCGTAAAGCGACACCGCTTGGCACTTCACAATGTTTTTATTTTGAGTCACAAGCACAAGTTGCCGCCGACTTTTTTTTTTATTATGCAGCAAACGTTAAACACAAAGTAAAAGCACAAACATGAGATTTATTTTGACGATAATCTGACGTATTGTTAGATATTTTCGATGTCATTCCTCAATATTGAAAATGTCATTATTTTGATGTGATTAAAAAATTGCTATTGGCAATATCGATATCAAAATAATATCGAATAGTCAAGTAATTTCGATATATCAACGGTGCTTAGAAACACCTACAGTGTACCGGTACATGTACATGAAGGTTACACACGTTTTTGCAATTTTCTCTCACAGGTACACATTTGTGATGCGATCAAGCTACATGAGTCGTTTGTCGACCCTGGTCAAAATTTTTTTTATAAAAGATTTCAAAAGAGCACAATCTCAGTATAACTGCTGTGAAAACTGCATGCTGGTACCATCTTTAGTTTAAAAATTATGGAAGTCGGAACACCAAGAGATGTGATGAAGCGATGTGATGAAGTGGCCCTATTTTGGCCTGTATCTCCACATCAAAATTCCCGACAAATGACTCATCTAGCTTGATCGCATCACTTTTATTCTCCTGGGTGGAGAGAGGCAACTGTTGTAAAGTGTCTTGCCTAAGAACACAAGCACCATGTTCCCCATCAGGGTTTGAACCCACCCACCGTTGCACACGAGTCAAACATTGTAACCATTTGACCATGGCGCTTACAGCACTGTGTATTAAGATTCAGATTGTTGATACAATTTTTCAACACCTTATCCAACAATCAATTAATCTCAATTTGCAACCCAGGGGGAGGAAGTCAAAAGGAACCAATGGCACAGAAAAAGCTCAGGTAGTGTCAGTTAGCGTGCTCAATGATTATGATATAACTCAGCCGTAATCCATGTCACGATATATTATTGTCAGCGGGTAATAAGACGGCCCGTATGGATGTCATCATTAGGACTACCGTAGTCCTCCAAGTCTTCCTAATTACATTTAATGAACATCCACGAAGGATTAATGTCGCATGTTGGTGTGTTTTTTGGGGGGACAAGTTTTTCTCTGCGGTACAAGCTGTATTAAATTTCATGAATGCTAACTCATCACCCACATAGACAAATATGACAGGAAGAACTGTTTTCTAAGTCCACTTCTTTCACTTTCAATTCACTTTATTCCTGGAAAATGCAAAACTTCAGTTTAAAGCAGTGTACATGCATATTGAATGCGGAAAAATATGCTAGGCCTCAAACTGGTTTTAAACAGACTTGTTTAATACAGGCCAAGCACATATTTATTCAAATTCATGTCTTTTTGGTCAAAAAATCAAAACAAGTCAAACATTTTAAATTTCTGACGATTTTGTTCAACAATTTTACTTCATGTTTTTCGAAACACCCCTCTAGGTAGCTTTGTTATGGTACAGTGTATGTATCTCTGGTGAGCAGTCGTAAACAACACCTTACCGCAATGTGGCACAACGGTGCCGGTGTAGTGGTAATTTAGGACTATGAAATACAGACTCATTGGTAGTACTGCGCATGCCTAAGTGAAGATTGCGAAAGTTCAACCAATGAAAGGGTAGAAGGGACCAGACTTCATAGGAGTCCAAATTTCATGTGACACCGGAAAATTGATTAATAGGCCTACCAGCCAGCCGGTGTTTTATCAACTGTTTCAGACCAGCCACGCGACAGGCTTTCGACCAGTGGTGGTTACACAATTTTGTCTAGCCCCCCCCCCCCAAAAAATTCCATAAAAAAAAAATTCCATTAGCAAAAAGAAGAAATGTGATGTTCATGTACATGCGAACGGTCTCCCCCTAAAAAAATAGTTGTGACAAGGGTGCATTTGTAGTTAATATAGTGTGACTGATTGTATGATTGTATTGGCGCTCCCCATTGAAAATATTTTGTCTAGCCCCCCCCCCCCCAAAAAATATTCCATAAAAAGAAGGCCTCTCTGTCTCCGGTCCAACGTCTGATATCTAAGCATGCAAATTTCTGCGACCCCGCGTGCCAGCCAATCGGTCCGATGTGAGGTCATTTCATTCCAAAATCTAGACTAAGCTGTTGATTGGTCAATTTGGATGCCATGTTTTGTAATACAATAATGGGCACAGAGATCTAATATAACCCGACATTGGCCTTTCAAAAGGGGTTACCGAAGATCCGATATAGAAGGTGCCCGCTGAATGGTCAGAATCTTAAGGTCAAGACGCAGTAATTAATTGCTGAATCTGCTCGCATATCATAGACCCTTGCTGTGCAAGGGGATATTCCATAGACTACTAAAATACCTTGCCAGAGAGTAAATTGACATCATTTGTTTGCCATTAAGATATTCCCTGTGACAAATTTCATTTTTCTCACACCCTAAAAAGAGAATATCCAGTCATAGACATGAAAGGTCAAGGGGCTCGAACAAGTCTAAGAATGATGCTTCAGTCTGATGTACTCAGTAGATGGGTTTGTTTGGGTTGACCTTTTGATACCTGACCTACATGTAAATGCACATGGGCAGGGTAGCGTGCATTTTCCTCTGAGAGAACATTGATATATCATCGGACTGTTGAGTGATGGGGGGTCGGGAGGAGAGAGTTTTGGTTTCCAAATTAGTTTGGTTCCCAGAGTAAGTTGCGTGCCACACTCTTCGCTTTCTTCAGCTAGTTGCTGGAATAAAGGTATGTGTATCCGGACCATTTCAGTGTTAGGAGTAATGTGTTTTACTTTCCAACATTTTCAGCAGTGAATGTAGATTGTGGAAAGTTCAAGCACTGTACATGTACATTAACCGCACGGTTTTTAGACTTCTGAAACAAAATGTGACCTGAACCTCTTTTGAGTACCTAGGACAAGTGTATAGTCTAAACATTTCAGAGCCAAACTGCATCATTGGTGCATGTACCGTACAGCACTGTATGTAGTCTAGGGGCTAGACGTTGCTTTGTTTGATACGCAATAACCCGCTGCCGCGAGAGGGCGCTATCATGACCGACCAATCATCTCCCACGGGCCTGTCAGAAGCAACGTCTAGGGTATCTCCTTATCCCTCCCCCTCCCCCCCCGAAAAATGGGGGAAACGAGTGTGCATGCGTGACTTTTGCAGGCAATTACGGTCCATTTTCAGTCACTTCACATACTACTCACAACAAATAAGCTGACCAGTAAGTTGCAAAAAGATCTTGCTGCATCTTTTATTGTACTTTAAGAAATTTGAGAGTTTGCTTCAGAACTACTATGAATTTTTCGAATTGTGTGCACTGCATATATTTGGCCAAACAGGTGCGGGCGTATTACACGACCAAGAGGAGATACCCTAGACATTGCCGCTACTGAGAAGTCCGGGGGCGATATTGGTTGGTCATATGATAGTGCCCTCTTGTGGCAGCAGGTTATCGCGTATTAACCACTTCGCACCAGCGTCCGGGGTTATTAGTAACTTTACTGTAATCTAAAAAAATTAACATTGAAAAAAAAAGGGTAATATTTTAGCGTTAGGAATGTGTATACTGACGTGAATATTCGAAACACTATTGATTACCGGTATACCCCAAAATGCTGTACAACACAATCTTCGTTCAAGAATAAGGCCTATGGACCTGACCGAGGCACGAGATTGTTTTTCACAAACCTAGATGCCAGACGGGTTCAGGCTGGCATCTGTGGGTAGCACACCCTGATATTTCCGGCCTTGCTTGCTCTGCGAGCGGGTCGCAGACAGATATTTCCGGCCTCGCTCGTTGTGTGTTTCTGTCATCCGTTCCAAATACTGCAAAACCTTTGTATGTACCGTATAAATATCATCTGACGTGAACTGGTAACAAGCATTGCCTAATCATAGCATCTACATGTACATGTACATCACTACATCACATCAGTCTGGCGCTGCTCAATCCAACAGGATCCAACTACCGGTATGTTACATACCCGCTGGATCCTGTTTCATTGAGCAATAATTCCCTTGTATCTATTCCTGTTGAATCTGTTGGATTCAGCAGGCGACTGAAAACATAAAAAAGTCAAATTCTATTGGGTACTGGTAAATAATGCCAAGTTGGACTCTGCTGGATCCAGCAGGAAACAAAAAAAAATGAGGCACAGTTGGATTCTGTTGGATTGAGCAATTGCCAGTCTTTTTACATGTTCAGGTACCCAACAACTTGGCAAGTTGGATTGTGTTTGACTGTGTTAGGAAGGTGAGCAGGAAACTCATATGAGTAACCGTCTGACCATGTTGGATTTAGCAGGGTACCGGTAGTCCTGAGGAACTACATGTGTACTACTAGGGGATTAGGGTTAAGTAATGACACATGTCACTTGTGTAGGCAATAAGTCAAGTCTTTTTAATTTGCATCACATTACTAAGACAGCTGATTCTACAAAACGTTCGCCGTTCTGAATTCAGAATTTTCTGTGCTGTGGGACCAGCTCTATTGGGCTTACCTTTTCTTGCTTTATCACAGTTGACGTAGAGTCATTAGACCAAGGGAAGTGGGGAGTGTGTGGCCTAGTGGTTAGGGTTCGTGACTCATGATCAGGGGGTCCGGGGTTCGAATCCAGCTGCTGGTCATATATTGTGTCCTTGGGCAAGGCACTTCACCCCCACTTGCCCCTCTCCACCCAGGAGTATAAATGGGTACCGGCATTAGCTGGGGAGTAACCTGCGATGGACTAGCATCCCATCTAGGGGGAGTAGAAATATTCTCAGTCATTTCATGCTACTGCAACCGGAGATAAACGCCGGCCTGATGAGCCACATTGGCTCGGGACAGACTTTACTTACATTAGACCAAAAAGCTTTTCATTGTAGCAGTGAGTACAGATCAACATTAACGTAACTTGCTGTCCATGTTTTGGAACAGTTGACAGATCGAAAGTGACTTATTCTGGTTGATTAATTGATTTTGAGTTTTCTTTTATCTACTTTGATACCTCATCAATTTAACAATCACAATCTTTGGCTAAATGATTGTTATGATATCTCATCAAAACCAATTTGTTAGCCTTTCTCTGACCTCCGTCCAAACTTCCAACCCAATTTCCAACCCTAACATCAATCCAATTTAAAGTTACCCCTGATGCTGCCCTCAATCATAACTTACTCCCATCTTTGTCAAACATGACCCTAAATCCGGACGTGAATTGTAAATCTTTCATGACAACTGTAATGTACAAGACAAATACTGTCTAATTACGTACTTCTTGTTTCTAATTGTGCAACTTCAAAAATATCATCTGCTTGTACTTGCCCGTACTTCAGAATCAATTTTCTAATACATTCATTTGTTCGGCAACAGAATTTATCAACGATGTCCACGCGCACAGTCTTTAGACGCACAGAAGTCACTTCAAATTGAATGATTTTCTTGGAGGTAAATGATTTTGACAAGTAGACAACGGATAAGGAAAAAAAGTTTATGATACCATCTCTGGTGACTGCAGTGCAGGCTGGAATACTTGCAAGTGCATTCCGTCAAAATCATTGACCGATACGAAACAACTCGGGAATTGCGGTGAACTTTTGAAGGAAGCCTTGGTTTGAATATGTTCTCTCTTTTTCTCAAACTTGGGAACGGCTCAAAGGATTAATGGAATTGGCTTATTAAGGATGGATTTCCTCCAGTAATTTGATTTAGTGGCCATCACAATGGGAACTTTCTTTTTTTCCCTGTGATTCATACATTCTCATCAATCCCAAAACCTTCCCAAATCTGGCCCGTTTTTTTTTAAAAGAACCCCTTTCTTGTCTTGGTAGGGAGGGGGGGGGGGAGGAGAGGAGGGATGGCATGGGAATCTGACTCATGATTTGTGGAGAGGAAAATAAAACAAACGCGGTGAGAGAAAAAAAATGGCTGACCTGTTTGGTGACAGATGTGTATATTCTGCGGTGATTTAGTCTATTAATATAGATTAACGGCAAATCTCCTGACTCATGCCTCAGCACTCTCTCTTTTCTTTAAAGCAATTGCTAAAAATCTGTTTAATTGTTTTATTATTGCCTTATAGTCTTGAACACATGAAGTGCCATTTTAGACATAAACATTCAAATTTTCCTTGGGAGATTTCACTTTTGATCATATATGATACATAATTTTTTTAAAGGTTTTTCATGATTTCACAATCTTTTTCAGGTTTTTTTCCCCTAAAATCAGGAGTTTGTGTAAGTTTCTCCCCTGATTTCAAGACTTCTTTGACAAGATTTTTCCTGATTTCAGGTTTTTTTTGTCTACAAATTTTTCCCGATTTCAGGATTTTCTTTGGTCAGGAATTTTCCTGCTATCAGGATTCTTTTGTCAGGATTTATTTTTTCTTCTGATTTCGGGATTTTTAAATAAACCATTTTGAAATCTGGAATTTCTTAAGTTTAAGGTGCTTTTACCTGTAAAGGTTCAAACATGTAGAACAAAACATGGGTATTTAAAGGTTGCCATTAAACAGACACAAAGTTTGAACATTTCATAGAATTAGACATTACTCTGTGGTGCCCTCGGCTACCCTCGGCTACCCTGCTCCGATTATTTCGTGGACCTTTCTTTTTTCTTCCAATCTCACCCCTGACATATGTAATTTCATTAAAGATATCTATCACTCGACAATAGTCAACTTTGTAACTCAGGCCGAGTCACCGTCTCAAAAGTCACCCCTCTCTCTCCCCCCCTGTCCGTCATAGGAATTAGACACAGACCCCAGGGGAACGGCCCGACGCCTTTTCCATAGTTGATCTTATCTCGGTTTCTCCATGCATCACTGCTGACTGACTTGTATGATTGGAGGGATTAGGGCTAATTCCTTTCGCACTGTTGTTTCAGGAAACATGCTTAATGGCAAACGGGGTGGGGGGGGGGGGGGGGGAGACTGACGGTGGTAGCATGCGACCCCATGACCTGTACATGGGCTGGTGATAATTTTTTTTTTTTTTTTAATGAGACCCTGGGATGGAAATAGAGGCACGGAGATAGAAATTTGGGGTGCTTAAATACATTCGGAGACGAAGGGTCTAAACCATTTGGGCTTTTGGGAGCGACGAGTGTATTACATGCGGTTCTGGTTCTTGGATGTATTTAAGTCTGCGAGAGAATTTGCGTATCTTTTCATCAAGTAAGTTTTTATAACAACGATGCTATGCAATACAGTGTATATCGTTTCCCGTACTTGTACTTGTTTCAGATTTGTATAAATTGGTTTTACACTTAGATGTAGGATTTAAATACTACAAATCTTCTTGATGTACATGTACATCATACATGTACATGTATGTTCATAAAAATTACAAGGGATTGCATTTTATTTTTAGTGTAGTAAAATTCTTTAAACTTTTTTACGTAAGATACAATGTAAGTTGAAATTCGCTCAAACCGATGCCAACTGGAGACAACGAGTTAGTATATTAGCCGAACATTAATTTTGTGTTGTTGTAATTCTATTATCAAATTACGTGGTCAACCTAACTCATGTTACTCCCTGTAGAGCTCGAAACTGCTCTGCCTGTTAATCCTTGTAGTACCCGAAACCGCCCTGCCTCTTAATTCTTGTAGTGCCTGAAACAGCCCTGCCTGTTACTCCCTGTAGCACCTAAAACTGCCCTGCCTGTTACTCCCTGTAGCACCTAAAACTGTAGCGCCCCAAACCGCTCTGCCTGTTACTCCCCTGTTGCACCCGAAAATGCCCAAGCACTCACTGATTTTATGGGTTCTTTGGCTGTTCACTGAAAAAATACTCGAGTACATGTCCAATGTAATACAATGTAGTACATGAATGCACAGGTGATTAATGGTTTTATCAAGACCTTTTCTTCAAATGTAAGAGTTTTTTTCATGTTTAGGCTATTGGAGGAACTTTCTGAATCTGTAATTTTTGTCTGGCTCTCTTCCTGTTAGACTTGTGATAGTGTGTTCCGATGAGAAACGACAACATGCCCGTTCCAACGGACAACATGAACTCCAATGATCCTGGTAAGTCCAGATATTGAAATTTAGTTTTCATTTATTTGTCAGAAAAAACAACAACGGGTAAACATTTGTTCTTTATTCCATATCCCAATCGTTTTACTGTGACACATCTACTTAAGTATTGTTTAATTTGATTTGACACATCTGGTAAAGTACCGATATAGGTCAGGCATTTTTTTGTAATGAATACGTACAAATCAATACAGGTATTGATCTGTGTGTATTTAGAATACTGCTTGACATTGTAAATGTGATACTGTTGTTCGGAAAAAAATATGCAAAGTGTTTGTCAATTATGATTTACTTGTGCTTTGTTGCTAATTTTTTTTATGTCCTAGGGGAGCCTTCATTGAGTGTATGCTCTCCGTTTTGTGATTTTCTGTTTTTCAAATTATTATTTGTGCATTCCATTTGGTTTTTTAACCTTATGTTTGTAATGGTGGGATTCTTGTATGTTTTATGCTTTCTAAAACAAAAATAATTGAACATGTTTTAGCCAAATCCTACAATGAATTTTGTAAAATGTTTTTATATTTTTAAAGGTCTTATTGATGTAACCACTATACAATTCAACCTTCGGGTTGCAAACAAGTGGAAATAAAACCAATAACAATAATAGATTAATATAGTCCTTCTGATTTGAGGTGTGTGATCACACCCCTACACCATCGCACACCTAAAAGCTTCCCGAGAAGTGCGAATAATCGCACACCTTAATCCCTCTTTACTGTACACCTTGGCATACATTTACGACGTAATATACTGCATAATTAGTGGGGAAAAAGTACGTCAGTGAATAGAAAATGGCTTTACTGTTAACCAAGATGAATATTATAAAAGAAAATCCAGATGTTCAGTCCCAGCTTGGACCACAAAATCACACGCCTAGAAAAATCCAGGTGTGCCGTTTTCCACATGCCTGTGATATTCAAATCAGAAGGACTGATTAATACATGTAATAATCTGTTATTTTCATCAGCTACTTTGTAGTATTTCTAGTTTTCAGGTCACTGTCTGTTGTATGTTGAGGTTAATAACAACAAAAATAGGGATTTCAAACCTGTTTTTTTTAGCCAGATCTATGTGCACTTGTGGTTATTTCCGCCAGTTAGGCTTCTCCGGTTTCAATACATGAGTTCATAATTGACTGTTGGTTTCAGCCAGATTAAGTCAGATTCCTGCAGATCAAGCGCTGACAGTAACATTACCTAGGCTGCTCTGTGTCATGATGAGACAGGTGGACTGTCACGCACGTTTTGTGAATAGGCCATATTTTGTTTGCTAATAGGGGCTCTGTAAAGACGCCATCTTCTGGGCAATTCTTCAGTAATTAAACCTAAATACATTTTTGAGAAAAAAAGTTTTTATGTGATGTAATACATTTTTCACTAAAGTGTTGCTGGTAAGTAAAGATGCAAATTTCTGAAGAAGTTTCATAAGTTGGTCTTTCCGTGCATAAATTACATGTAGCATGCTTTTAATTACAAAATGTCACACGTACGTGACTGATCAAAATTTCACAACTAGCCATAAAGCTTCAAAAATCAGACAAGCCCAATTTTATGTCACACAGTGACCAAAGAATGGGTATCAACACAAGAAAAAAAACCATTTTGTTGCAGCACTTTCTTGACTTTACTTTCATGTACACTGTACATGTAGATTGTGAAATGTGCACAATGTGTAAACTTACTTTACATAATAACATTTGATTCATGTCTGTTTATACTGCCCCCCCCCCCCCCCCCTTAGAAAAATGGGGTCGTTATGGATGTCCCCATTCACTCAAGAACAAGGCCTATTGCAAAGAGGTTTTTTTTGGCTTATATGTTACAAGACTGTATTGTTTCTTGTGTGAGGTATGTATGGTGATTTTTGGTGACTCAGTCTCACTAAGTTTTTCAATACTGGCGTACCGGTACATTACATGTTCATGTTTGCTGGTCACAGACAGAGAGTCAGTCTAGCAAACTTTTTATATGAAATTTGCCTTGCTTCGCAGTTATGTTGTTGAACTTGCCTTCAGGTACATAAACATGGATGAGAATTGCTTTTTTTATTTACATTTGTTTAAATTTTATTTTTTTATCATCAATTTCAGCGTTACTGAGGTTGCTTGGCTCCTTAACAGAACTGGGAGGCGGGTTTTGTGGACGGCAAGATGACTTCATGTTCCTTCAGAATGTGCTGGCCAGTCCAGAATTCCATGCACTATTCAATGTAAGTCAACTCTCAGAAATACACATACATGTAGTGTCCAACTAGCCTGCATGTAGGCATTAGTCTCTGTACCACTAGGTATTAGTCTCGGTACATTGCAGTTTGGTCATTAGTTAATTTGGGGCTCCCCTTGTTAACCTGTCCCTATTACATCTGACATCTGTGATTTATCTTTTTGGATGCTCTCCTTTAATGCAGTAATCCTCCAAGAGCAATTATGAATAGAAAACTACCAACCCAACATAACAAACAATTTGTTTCAATTAAAAAGATGTATTCATAAGATGGAATTTGCGTCGGGTGATGTAAATCAATATTAGGTTTTGCCCTTCGGAAAGGGCAAAACCAAATATTGATTTACATCACCCCGACGCAAATTCCATCTTGTGAATAGTTTAATTGCGATACCCGCTGCTATGTACATCAGATTCGAACCAGCCAACTGATTCCGCAAGCTCGGTGGTCGAGTCAGTGGTAAGATGTCTGCACTAGAAAGTCGGAGGTCTCGGGTTCGAGTCCCACCCGAGTGATTTTTTTCCAACTTTCACTCGGGAGGTAACACACTGGGTATACAGTGTTTATACGTTGGTGAAGGGCAAAACCTAATACTGATGCAAAAAGATGTCGCACTTTGGAACATTAAATTTATAGAATGACCCATGTATGAACATGTACCAAAGGAGTGTGTTTGTGTATCTTAATTGGTAAGTTCTCCAATGTACGATTGGCTCATACTCATCAAACATACACTCAACCAAAAAAAGAAAATCCCCCCTTAATACTTTTTTGTCTAACTCAAAAACTACTGGGCACATCTTGGTCCAATAACGACTGATCAGTGCAGAAATTCCTTAGCAATCCAGCCATGACTCTTTGTTTGGCCCAAAACAGTGATAATGCGTACAGAATTATGCAATTTATGACAAATGGTACCGAAAAAAAGTTGCACTTTAGTACGTGCAAGGTGAGTTTGAACCACAACTTACACGTATACAAAATTGCAACTGTTTTTATGCCCCGCGGCGAAGCCGAAGGGGCATACTGTTTCCGCCTTGTCCTTCCGTGGGTGGGTGGGTGGGTGGGTGGGTGGGTGTGTGGGTGGGTGAGCTTGTCTTACATACGCAGTGTGGACTTCCGAACAAAAGACGTCCACATAATGTAGGTAGCACCGACGTTGTGTGGACTTGCCCACGTCCACACAGTGTTTCCCCATTTCTGGAAAACAGGTTTAGAGGCATTTTTGGGTTAGGTTTATCTGTAGCAGAATGAAGAGAAACACTAAAGGGAATCATAGAAAAAAATTGGGTTGAAAGAGTTTTCACAGTTTGAGAAAAATGAGTTTTTTCACTGGTTTTTCTTAACTACACGAAAGCAATGGAAAGTCCACACTAGTCATGTGAAACAAGTGTGGGTGTGTGGGTGGGTGTGTGGGTGTGTGTGTCCGGACAAATCTTGTCAGCGCGATAACTTGAGAAATACTTTACATATGAACTTCAAATTTGGTTTGTGGATTGTCCTTGGTAATCCTAAGAAGCCTTTTGCATTTGGGGCCGAAAGGTCAAGGGTCAAGGTCACAGTGGCTGAAACAATAGAAATTTTGTCAGCGCGATAACTTGAGAAATACTTTACATATGAACTTCAAATTTGGTTTGTGGATTGTCCTTGGCAATTCTAAGAAGCCTTTTGCATTTGGGGCCAAAAGGTCAAGGGTCAAGGTCACAGTGGCTGAAACAATAGAAATTTTGTCAGCGCGATAACTTGAGAAATACTTTACATATGAATTTCAAATTTGGTTTGTGGATTGTCCTTGGCAATCCTAAGAAGCCTATCGCATTGGGGGTCGAAAGGTCAAGGGTCAAGGTCACAGTGGCTAAAACAATAGAAATCTTGTATTTATTCTGAGATCATAGGGATTAGGGATTAATTCATATAAAACCTACAGAAGACACTAATGCCGTCAATGAACGTTCCATTTGACCAAGGTATGTATGTAAGTTGATGTTAGAGTGGTGTTATGTCATGGAAACAGTCACGGTTGCGGGGCATTTGTGTTTGTAAACACACCTGACTTGTTTGGTTCCATTTGTCATACATAAATTCGTACACATCATCACTGTTTTGGGCCAATTAAAGAGTATGGCCGGATTGCTGAGCAATTTCTGTACTGATTAGTTGTTGTTTGAGCGAGAGGTGCTCAGTAGTTTTTGAGTTAGACTAAAAAGTATTGTAAGGGGCGACTTTCTATTTTGGTTGAGTGTACATGAACTGGTGACATCCTATGGAACTTTTTGAAGCTGTGAATTTGCAAATATGTAACAAAAATTCAATTCTGGCAAAGTTTGCCACACATGTTTTGGATGTACCGGTATGCTTTACCACAATTAAAAGACATGAATGTGGCAACCCCATTGCTCACATGTTGCATTTGTAAGTAAATCTGAAGATGAATGTGCATTTTGGCAGTGTGTCTATAGGACATGCACATCAGCTTTGAACCACAGCAACGATGTCATTTAATTGTGACTGCTAGAGTAGTCTGTCCTCCGCAGTCACCGTACTTAGGTGCAATTAGCTATCATTAGGTGACAAATTATGGCCCTAGTCAGCCAAGAAAGTACAATTTTTTTTTGCTGATGGTGCAGACGGTTAAAGATTTAATTAGCTCCACAGGAAGAGGTATTTATCAGTTGGAGCTAAGAGTGTTTGCAAATCGGTTAAGGAACATGATGTAGCTTTTTGGCGGGGGTCTTAAATTAAGATAAAATATCAGTGGTTTGGGACAGGAAGGGGCATTTGGGGAATGTTTTCAGGTTGATGGACAAAGTGCCTCGTCACCGGTACACCTTTGCTGACCACCGCTATTTCCAGACTATTAAATCCCATGGGCCTTGGTTTCGTTAGAAGACATGACACAGACTTTCAGGTGTCCTCTAATAACGGAAACACCGGCCCAGTGTCAGCTTCAAGCCCAGGATCATTTGCTTTCGTTTCCAATAGTAACACCTCTCAAAATTTATAGAAGACTGTTCAAAATCCGACCTGTTGTTAAGTGTCAGCTCATTGGATATTACACTTTTGGAAAAAACCAGTGAAAAACTGTGCACTTGTAACCTTTTGATCGCGAAACACGATTAAAACATGAGTGATTTGAATAATTATTTTAATACTAAAAGAAAGCTTATTAATTGGGCTTTCACATCTTAGATCTGAAAAATGCTACATGCAGAACTTCTTTAAAAAATAAGGGGCTCCATTTGGTTTTTCTTTGTTTTTGGTGACTCGCCCTGTACATCCCATACAACCTTGGCTGGTAACTGATTTTTGCTTTTTAAAGCAAATATTTTTTCGTGCTTAGCAAACATTTCTGCGCATGGTGGCTCCTGTTTGTCAAGAAATACTGTGACTTTTGGCTCCAGGCAGGAAATTTGGGGGTCACTTTGTGATCGCTCTATGCCGTGACAAGTCGAGAACTTACCGGTACATGTGATTTATGCAAAAAAATAACATGAATTTGGGTTGAGCCAATGTATGACTCATTTTTCCGTCATCATTTTTCCGTCATCAGGTCACAAATATGCTTTCATTTCTTAAGACGATTTGGATAAGATACTACTGAGAAAAACAGACAGATCAATATTAAAGTACCGGTAGCAGACAATTTTTCCATAGAATTTTGCTTGTTTGTTTACACTTACAGTTCCTGATGTAAAAACTTCCTTGTGAGTTGTGTGGTTCTGAGAAGAACCAGTTGGGTTTTCTGGAACAAGCAAAAATCTGCAGAAAAATTGTTCGGCATTTGTACGTATGAATCCAAAATTAATTTTTAGATTGGGTAATAATAACAAATGGTGGCATGATTGTTAATTTACAGGCACACAATGCAGTGAAAGAGTATGGAGAGAACCAGTGCAATCCGGTTTCATTAGACTCAACAGGCGTCATGACGGATGTAAGTTTCTCGCATACTCTCATACAAGTGCTTTGAAAAATTATAAATTTTCCTTAAAAGTCATTGCAACATGTATCATCCTCTAATCTGTTTCAAAGCAGAAAAGATTCAAATCTTTCAGTTTTATTGAATTCAACCACTTCCATTTTTTTCTCCCAATTAATTTTCCTCTTGTTAGTAACTGTTTCCAAAACTAAATGTGGGTCAATGGTTTTCAGTTAGTGTCTCATTCAGAAGTGAGTAAAATGTCAATTTAAGAAAACAATTCTATTTTTCGAAGTGAAACTCAAAAACTAGCATAGACAGTAAATCAAAAACATTAAAAGTACCGGTAGTGGGGAGAGGTGTTACAGAGAATGCTGAATAGCTTAGCTTGAAGAGCACCGGAACGGCAATCTGGAGGTTGCAGGCTCAAATCCCGCTCTAGTCTTTGTTCAACTTTAACGTAAAAAAATAGCGAATATTTTTTGTGACGGAGCATTTATTTTCTGGTTTTCAGCTTTGCAATGACATGCTGAACTTTGCCATGATCCCCGAGGTGAGGGAGCTGTGTTTCCTGCTGACGCGTCCCCACATGAGGGCGCTCTTTGACTCCCACGACCAGCTGGCTAACGGGGAATATATCCCCCAGCTGCCGGACCTGCCGCTGGGAGCAGAGGAACAAGAAGACAGCTCAGTCAAGATTGTACGATTGGTCAAGGGAAACGAACCACTGGTAAGTGAATTTAAAAAACAAGGAAATTTACTGGAATGGGATTGGAACCTGTTACCACTAGAATGCTGTTCCAGGGCAGTACCAATTATAAAGCTAGCAAGGGAAACAGAAAGAATGTAGCATTCAGACGCCAATTCTGTTGTTGTGTACAAAGTCTGTGGAGAGTTAAGTAAATTTTCAAAGAATTGGAAATGTTTCTCAGTCTCAGATTTATGTCTTTTTAAAAATTGTGCAATGACTGAGCTTCATTGAGATAATATATGATAAAAAAGTAGCGTCAGGATGTAAAGCCCAGTTCATACTTCACGCGAATGCGAAGCGAATTTGACGTCATGAAACATTCGCTGCGAAATTCGCCTGAGTTGAAATATGTTCAACTTTTACGAATTCGCAACGCAAATACTTGCCACGACGTCACAAATTCGCGTTCGCTTTTGCTTTTGCGCCGAGTATGAACCGGGCTTAACATTCTTTCCAGGGAAACAAACCGCAGGTCATGCAGGTGAAGGAAAACGAACCACTGGTTTGTGAATTCAAAAACAAAGAAATTTACTGAAACGGGACTAGAACCAATAACCACTGGAATGCTGTTCCAGGGCTGCCAGAGCCAAATTATCAAGGGAACTGAACCATGGGTGAAGGAAAATGAACCACTGGTATACGTTGATGAATGTAAAAACAACATGAGGGCGAAACAAATAAATGTACTAGAGTGGAAGTCGAACCTGATACCTCTGGAAGGCTGTTCCAGGGCTCTACCAACTGAACTATCAAAAATATCCAATCACTGGGGAAGAGGAATGAACCACAGGTACCGGTAGGTGAATTTAAAATCAATATTAAGTCCAGCAAAGAAATTTACTGGAGCGGGATTCAAACCTGTTACCACTGAGAAACTGTTATATGTATGTACCAACCGCTGAAATCAGCAGCATGGATTGAACAAAAATTAACTGGGACAGCATTTGAAACTGTGCAATCTGCTACACTGTTCCAGGGTTCTAGACCAAACTCAATACCAAATCATAGAATTCAAATCGAACTTAAAAGAATTCAAACCGAACTTCAAATCCGGATTTGAATTCCCACCCCTAGTTCCCAGCAAGAATGCGATACACAGGATTGATGAGGAAACTCAAATTTAACTTCAGGCAGGAAACCTGCCCATTATCTCAATGCCTGGGCCGCGCTGATACAGCGTAGGTGTAGATGCCTACTTGTTTATAGCTCTCTCGCTCTCGATCGCGGGTTTGTCCCGCGCTCGCTGCCTTTATGTGAACTGGCATGTGGAGATTGGCAGTCGGCTGTGATGGAGCCCGAGCACTTGCGGGCATTTCCTGAGTCATTTACGGGCCGACTGACCCCTGCTCCAATTCTGTCAGCCGCTCAATTATCGGCCTACCTGGACACGCACGTATTGTGCAAGTTTTGGATTCACAACAGTGACTCTGTAGCCGGTGACAGGGTGCAATTTCATGGCTCTGCTTACAGTAAGCAAAAAATCCTTGCTTACTGTAGCAGGATTTTTTGCATACAGTAAGCAGATTTCATGGGTTAAAGATATAGTCCATCATTTGTAATTTGTGCATTTTGTTCGTTTGAAGCAACAAAAGTGTTCAAAATCTAATGAAGGATACTGAACAACTAACCTGATGAAGTTTCAGTTCAGCTTCAGCTGTATATTCCGAGAAAAACAGCATTCTAAGATCTCAATTTCAAATCAAAAGTTGCTGAAATGATGTTTTGAATTGTTTTTGAATTGCAGCTATACGCGATGTCGCGCACTGATCCGACGAATTATAGCAACCGCGCGCGCCTGTGCGTCGTGCCAATGCTTGCGCGCGCTGCGCCGAATAACAAAAAGAACTACTAATTTAAATTTTCCTACGGTAAGACGCACCGTTGGAAAGGCCTTCTTTCGTTGATTACTTCAAAATGATAGCTTGTTAGAAAGATTAATTTCACAGGGAGTTTAGTCCACTTACTATCTTTCAACCAAGTACATGTATGTTTTTCAACAATAATACGCCAGTGACTTTTTCGGATGGCTGCAAATGATGGACTATAGCTTTAACGAGGAATTTTGGTTCATGCGCTCTAAGGATGCTGTGCTTACCTGGTTAGCACAGAATTTCATATTTACTAATGCTGTTAGCACAGAACGATGATCTTAAGCACCGAATCTTTAGGTTAGCAGAGCTGTGAAATTGCAGCCGGGGCTGAATTTCACGGCTCTGCGTGCACCAATGTACTATGAAATCTTGAATCACGTTCTGTACTAACAATGCATTGCACATTGGTCTGTGTACGTTCATGGGATGAAAACATGCTATTCCACTGATGTACACATACCGGTACATATACCTGTACACATTTCTTGTTAACCTGTAAACATGGTAAATAGACTGACCATTAGCTCGTCTTTTCGGCTTTAGTTAACAAAAATTAGTCACTAGTGGTTAGCACTTTGCCACGAAATGGGGACCCCAGGGCTGCTAAGCACAGCAGATATTTGCTTAGTGATAATATTTTTCCAGCCACAATGTCATGCATTGCATATTGCCCCAAATTGCCTATTACTTGTTGCTCACCAAAGAACCAGATACTTAATGCATAATTTAGGATCTTACGCGTTACTCTCACTTGACAGTAAAGAAACCTGTCAGAATTATATTTAGATTGCTGTTTTTTCCTCGTTGTTGTGTACATGTACATAAACATCTATGCAAACGGTATGCAACCTTATAAGGAGAGTATTTGTGCGATTTTCCCACAATTTGGCACACGCTCTTGATGTCTGCATTAAGGCTGCACAACAGGAAGATCGGGGATTGCGTGGAGGAAGCGCCAATCAGCATTGTTGGTTTAAGGATCGATAGACATCGACCACCTGGGGATCACCTCAAGGTCAGACATTGAGTCTGATTTGTCAGTTAGCGGGAAATGCGGGATGACGCTCCAATCAGATCCCTGCGATTAGGAAAACATGTACATGTATCCCCTAATAATCTAGGTCGCTTGTATGGTCCAGCAGTGGCATCTAGCGTACTCTGCCGAAAATGTGGTGATATAGACGGTGCTGTTTATTCGCTCTATAGGCATCTTAAAAACCCAGCCCTGACATTTCTATGCCATTACGTTGTGTTTCTGATAATCAAAACACTGCCTGCTACATATGTGTAACCGCCATGTTATGTGAACTAGCCTGAAATGAGTCTACTAACATAAGAAGCCTTTCACACTTTCCAAATTGTCTACAGTTGTATGTTGGACCCGGGTCCAATAGTAAGCAAGAATCCAACAAGGCTTCTACATGTACATACTGATAGATCCAGTGCTTATCCTGGTGCAAGTTTAACGTGATGAGTGCATTTCGAAAGTCAAATATATTCAATCAAGTCCAAGATGGAAAAATCAAATGCTAATTTGAAAAATGTGCAGCCCCGTCTTTCATACATGTGCATTTACAATGTACAGTGAAATCTCGATAAGTCAAACTCTAACAACTCAAAACCACTGTTAACTCAAACAAGAATCCATTGCCTTCAGTTGTATAACAATGATATACAACCCTGCTTAACTCAAAACTCTGCTTCAGTCAAATTTTGAACCTGTTCCCTTGAGGTTTGACTTATCAAGATTTCACTGTATATATATACATGTATCCTGAGTTGCCCAAGTTAGACATTGAAATGCTACTTTGCCTCCGTTCTGTGTATAACCATAGGGGTGTGTCCTTTCTCTATGGAATAACCATGATAAGTTGGCCCTCAGCATCACTCTGATTTAGGGGAAAAAATACGGTACTGTATTAACGTCGTGCTCACAGGCTGTAGGGTTCAATTCAATTCAATTCAATTTACTTCAAAATACTTTATTTATCCTTAAAAAGGCAATTACATATGGTGGGACAGCCCATTAAAGAAACTTAGTAAACTACAAGTCAAGTAAATATAAATACATCAAACTTACATCAATCACAAACAACATGTCCTTATCTCATTTAGAATTGGTGTAAAATCTCATCTTATCTAAAACATAGTATCTTTAGACGATTATTTTACACATGATGAAAAAAAAAATGTTTACTTAAAACATTTCCAATTTAAAATGATGGACCTAATGGTCTAATAGCCACTGGAGTAATGACAGCTCGTTAATGATACTGATACTGATACCCCCTGATTAATGGATGCATATAAAAATGACAAATAAAATGATGAACATAAAAACATACAAATAATTATCAGTTGATTATAAGTTTAATAGCCACTGGGAGGAACGAGAACTTCCTTCTGTTGGTTTTACATGGAGGGTATCTTAGACGGCGTCCCGATGGAAGAAACTCAAACATGGTTTCAACACATGATTTTCACTGGCTACGATTGACTTGGCTTTCCTTAGTGCTTGTTGTTCGCAAAACTGACCAAGATCTCTCTGGGGCTCTCCGGTAATTTTGGACCCAAGGTTAACAATCTTTTGCAAACTGTTCCTATTCTTAGCACTTACAGTAGGTTAAAATACCAGGAAATGAATGAAAAGCACAGTACACTTTCAATGAATGACCGATAAAAGAGACTCAGAATTGTTTTATCGACAGAGAGGGTCTTCAATTTACGTAAAAAATATAAGCGTTGTTGGCATTTCTTGACAGTAGCACATGTGTTTTCATCCCATCTAAGCTTGTCATCAAATATTGTTCCAAGGTATTTATATTCGGATACAATTTCAACTTCCTGGTTATGAATGACAGTTTTCGAGGCTTCCTCACTCTTTTTTCCTAAAATCCACAATAAGTTCCTTGGTTTTGAGTACATTTAATTCCAAACAGGAATCATCACACCAGTCAACAAAATCTTGAAGAGCATCACCATGATTATTATCTGATCCAGAAAGGAGTGAAATCAAAGCACTGTCATCAGCAAATTTTACCAAAAATCTATCGTCATGGCTACATAGCCAGTGTGGCACAGCCACTAGCAAATTTAACAAACCAGCAC